TAAGGAGTTTGGAGCTACCATTCATGCGCTTCTTATGCGGCGAGGACTTCAATATTTGCAAGTCCTTTGGGTCTTGAAGGTCGCCTTCTTGTATAACAATTCATATGAATGACCTCGAGATCCGCTGGAAAATATATGTATTTTTGGCATCCAGCTAGGACAATGCAACTTGAATGTATAAAGTTAAGTGAGGGGACTCTACGAAGTAGATGCTAATTAGAGATAAACATGACATGCTCCACAGCATATCAATGGATTATGTCGCTAAACGCCTAATCTACAGATCGTGACTTTTACCAAACACCCATCTCCCTGGTATTGATGATGACTCTCATGCATTGGTAGCGTTGAAGACCATGGGCGGCGACAGCCACGCCTCATAATCCGACTCATTCGTTAAGTCACCTGTGATCTTCAGAGCGCGCAACAAGATCTTGTATCGGCCATTCGGAATCCTTGTGTTGTTCGCAAAAGTATTGTTGGCGAGGATAAACGTGCTGTATCCTACATCTGGCTCGGGGGTTTCAGAGTGGCGTGGGCTATACTCGTATGATGCGAGTCCACCGACGACTGGGATCTGTGAGTAGGTGCCACCGTTTTGGTTGCCCCGTCCGTTGAGCCATTCTTTGACCCAATCCCATAATGAGCCCCAGAATCCGCGTTTCTCGAATTGTTCAGATTCGAGGTCGCGACGAGCAATGGTACCTGGGACGGTAGTGTTCTCGGAGACAAGATCGAATACAAGAGCGCGGGTTCCCATGACGAGACGGAAGAGGATGGTTGGAGCGCTGTTGTTGCCCACGAAAGTGTAGGTTTGCTCAGTAGTGGTGACATTTCCGTCAGCGTCGAGGGTAGTGGGGAGCTTTTCACCAAAGAAGTAGTCGGTGTTATCGAGCTGTCGAGGAGCCGTTAGTAAACTTTTGTTTCTTCTATAAGTGAATGCATGGGACTTACGATAGTAGCTTCCTTAAGCTTGGATGCAGTTCCCAAGTAGGTAACAGCCAAGACTTCTCCATTCTGCGCAGCAATCTCAATGTACCCACTGTAAACAGGAATCGCCTTGGAATCGACGTTTGGCGCGGTAAACCTGACGTCAAACGATTTGGTTTGACCCGCGTTAACGGTGATGGTGTGTGGAATATTGACACTGGCCACATCCGCAGTCAACGGAACGGGGAAGACGTTCTGCTGAATCGATCCAGGTTGAAGAGACTGAGCAGTACCCGCAGGCTTGTGGGTGAGTGTATATGTCTGCTTCTTGTTGCTGCCATTCTTAACCTTGATCGTATGCTTGCCCTTGAAGTTGGCCGTGTCATTGAGCAAGAGCTGACCTGGCGAAACAACCGTCTGGTAGTGTACCATGTTGTAGGCGTTGACCAAACCAGCACCCTGGACTGCTGCCGTTTGGAGGAGTGCCGAGTCGTTGCGGCTCTGGGGGATTGCGCCCGCTGTGGTCTGCATGAAATCACGAGCGGCACGAGCTACATCTTTGCTCTTTCCCTTAGCTTCAAGAAGAAGTGCAGCTACACCTGCGACGAAGGGAGTAGCCATGGATGTACCAGATTCGATAGCGAACGAGCCGAGAGCTTGTGGGTAAGTCGAGACGATGCCACCACCGGGAGCTGCGAGTGAGGGCTTCATGTAGGAATCAAAGGTTGGTCCGTAGGTGGAGAAGGTGGACATGAGTCCGGCAGTGGGGTTGTCAACTTGACCAGCGGGGCCGTCTTGAGGGAACGAGATGGTGGGGGGAGTACCTGCAAGGAACTGGTTCAAGAGGTATGCACCATCTTCGGTACCAATCAATGCACCGGGGATACCATCAGGTGTAAAGCTGTTGGGACTGCCACCGTTGTTGTAGATGAGACCGACACGGGCACCTTTGGCGGCTACGTTCTTGAGCTTGTCGAGCTACAGAAAGGTCAGAAGACATTATTTTTGAATGGCAGGTGCACTTACGAATGGGCAAGCTCCACGGCGGATGAGGACAACATAGGGGGAGAGGTCAGGTGTGTCATCCGGTAGTGGATCACAGGCATCATTCGGCACCATCGTCTTGCTAAGCGCATAGACTGGGAGAGACTCGGTAAATTTGAGAGGTGCCAGCGAGAAATAGGCGATATCAGCATGGCCAGAGACCTTGGCATACTGCACGGGGATCACGGAGTTGTCGACCGAGCCAACAGCGATCACATCGATGCCAGACGCAGGACCGGAGGCGTACCACATACCCGCATCACCCTCATTACCAGCAGCAATGGTGACGATGCGTCCGTTCTTGGCGGCACGAGAGGAAACGACGGCGCTGGGAGAGGAGGTCCATCCAGCGGGGCCACCGATAGACATGGTAATCACGTCGCAGCCTTCGTTGTAAGCGCGCTGAATAGCGGCGATGAGAATGTCATCGGAAACGCTACCTTCGCATCCAAAGACACGGTAACCTGCGAGCTCGGACTTGTACGCTACACCACTAATGTTGTACTGGTTTCCGGGGTTGGCACCAATGATACCTGCGACGTGAGTACCATGCCCACCGCAATCCATAGGATCGTTATCGGGTACAGGGGTGTTGGTTCCCGAATAAGCATCACCAACAAAGTCGTACCCCGAGGCAAATTTGCAGCCAGGGCCAAAGCATCCGCCGAGTGAAGGGTGCTTGTAGTCAAAGCCAGAGTCGATGATGCCGATCTTGACACCAGCTCCGAATTTTCCTTCGGCGTGTAGCTTGTCAACACCGCACATTTTATGGGTGGATTGAGTATCGGCCGGAATGTTGGTGTCGTCGGGGCCACTCAGGACATGTTGGTAGACGGGCTTGGGTGCGGGGTGAAGCATAATGGGGTGAATAGACACAACGCCATTGATTTCGGAGAGTTTGATGAGATCTTCGTCGCTCTGCATAACGAATTAGGCGCTCCGACGGATCGGGACTGAAAATCAAAATCCCAGACTTACGCTAAGTTGTACGGCAGCACCATTCCAGAGATCTCCTTCGTATTCCTGTGTCGTCTGCCAGGTAATGTCGCGTTTGTGCATGGCTTCGTAGAGACCGGCAGGGGGAGTCACGGAGCGTTTTCCAGTGATGGAGCTGATTCCGACAACAGCAGGGTCAATCTCGACCACATATCTGTTCGGTACAACATTGGTAGCGGGCCCGCGGGAGATCTGAGAGATGTCGACCTTTGCGGCCCAAGCAAAAGAGGCAGATACGGCTGCCCAAGTAAGAGCGTACTTCATGATAGCAAAAGAGTGTGTCTTGTGAAGGACTGTGGATGTTTAGAGAGTGTGAGGCTGGCTATAGACAGCACAGCGGTGGCAACGCAATAATGAAAGGTTGCGCCAACTGGACGACTCGGGGAAGAAACGTGAGGGTAGCAGAGTGCATTTTGTTGGAAGCTTTAATAGTCTGCGTGTCATATGGAACTTTCGAAGTCCGTATGGGAGCGTCGCAACGGCCGGCCCTTGAAAGTGTTCTGGTGGGGGACCGTGTGGGTGATGGCCTTCTCGCACCACCTGGCTTCTCTCCCTAGCACAGAACCCTCATGGCCGCTATCCAAGCATTCGAGGGCAAGCCAAAGTTCGCTTGTGCACAATGCTCAACTACAGTCGTACGCTCAGAATATTCTGCGCATTTTTGGGAGACTTTGTCTGATCCCGGTGATCCGCTGTTAGGCTCTTGCCGACGAGCTTATCTCCAAATCCTTTAGTGGACGCGAAGGCCGAGGTCCGTCCTGACGTTCCTAATGAACCAGACAATTTTTAACCATCCTATTCGCCAGCATTGTGAGTCTCCGGCCCTTCAAGCCCACAAACTCCACCTGCTCCTTTGACCGTCGCTTTTCCGGTTCGATCAGGGACACTGATTCAACGATAAATACAATCCCAGCTTGCTACACAGCGCTTGTAATATCAGATTGGGCAAGCATGAGCAACGCCAGCTCCTGACAGGCGTCCACACGGCAAGTTTACCCTCCTCAGTTCTCCATCCCACGCTCTTATCCACCTATTTTGGTATGCAGGTTGCCGACATGTTTTGCGTCGGGTGTTCCGCTCGACTCGGTTGGACGTACCTTCGCGCCCACGAAACGTCACAGAAGTACAAAGAAGGTGAGTAGATTTGATGCGAGAAGGTGCCCTTGTTGATGTGGAACCTTTTAGGAAAATATCTCTTTGAACGGGAGCGCATATTCAAAGACAATGCTTGGGAATTGGAAGATCACGATTAACCCCTCCGATATCGGTCGCTGGGTCGCGGTTCTCGGACACCCAACATTTCCTGATTTCATATATACGCGCTAATTATTAGACTTGACGACAAACTGTACCAAATTACATGAAATGATGACGAATTGACAAAGGCACATCCTGGTTCCACCCTCCTAAATAGGAAACACGGCATTTCTCTCGAGGAAAGTTACATAGTGGCCAAGATACCTCGGTATATTGCCCTCACACTGTACATTGTGCAAGGAAGTGGTTCCAGTTCTAACTGTCGTCGGTCCGACGGCTAAAGAGATCTCAAGACTCGTCACCCATGCCAATCGCTCGACTCTCCTTTGAAGCAATAAGGTGTCCCATTAGACGTGAATGCACCTCCATTCCCGCGATGTCACTTGACGACCCCAGATGCGCAATCCATTCATCTCCCATAGGTACCATCAATCACTAGAAACGAAACTCCCACCTTAGCGATCATGAAAGTCGAAGAGAAGGAACGGAAAGAAACTTGTGATTGTATGTTCCTAGAGGTGGGAGCAGTCGCCGGGGGACCATATGGCTTCGACACCACGTGGAC